GAATCCTCTCCACTCATTTTACAAAGAAACTAAACCCAGAGGAAGAAGTGACAGAAAGCAACTACAGATCCCTAGGGCATCCATACTCCTCTAGAGCCTTTCACTATCTTTGCATCAGGCCATTCAGTCAGTTCTAAACCTAGCTCCTTTAACTCCACATCCAAATTCTGTGCTTTTTCAGCATTGGATCTGAAAACTAGAATGGACATGTCAGCTCTCCCACTGATCAGGGGATCAAGGGGTTTAAAACTGGGAAAGATCTTATAGATCATCTCTTTCAACCCCCTCATTTACAGAGAGGAAGCTGAGACCACAGAGGCTAAATAACTTTCCCATTGTCACCAAGAATAAGCAGTAGAATGTCTCTTTGTAATACACTTGCCCTTTTTAGACATTTGTTTCTTCATCTGTAGATTGAGATAGCAATATTGCATTTTCTATTCTGTAAGGTTGTTGTAAGTAAAGGGCTTTATCTGGATGAGGCCCAGAGAGGGAGAATAACTAACTCACCTGCAGACATGTCCCTGGTATGTGCCAGAGCCAAGTCTCCTCTCTCTCAAATCTAGTATTCTTGCTCTTACAGGCTGCCGCTCTAAAGCCTTGATTGTCTTATAACATCTTGCTAGCTTTGCAACTGATTCACTCTCCCCTTTCCCCTCATTTAGTTTAGTTTGAGTTTTTTTCACTTCCATTTACTGCCTGGCTCCTTCTTAAAGATATATCATTTAGACCTCAGAAATTGGCAAATGTTATAAATCAGGGCTTGATTTATTCTTTGCTTTGTTGATTGTTTAAACTTAGGAGAGAGAAAATGTAATGCATTTTAATTAATTTAACTAATTAATTAATTGATTTAAATTAATGCAGAATAATCTAAAAGTGTATCATGTAAATATTCTCTCCCCCCCTTCCCCAGAGCTGGTTGTTAAACATTTACCAGTACACCCTTGCTATTAGGTTTTAGGGGCTGCTATATAGTTTGCCTAGGTTTCACAGAGTGAAATTTTGGGAAGTCGGGGGTTTCTTTCCCTCTTGTGCTAAACATTTTTGTTTTTTGTGGGGGAAAGCTGTGCAGGCTAAGTTTTTTTTCCTTTGTTATAAAGAGGAGGGTGGTCAGCATTGTTCCCCATTTTGGCTTAGGATACCCAAACCTAACAATATTTGCCTTTTTATAGCTTTAAACTATAAAGAGAGAGAGAGAGAGAAACACTGACATCTCCTGGTTATTGCCAAGAAGGCAAGACTGAAAATGTAATGAACATTATTTGAATCTACTCTTAGCAGCACCAAACCATTTAACATTAAAGCTAGAAAAGACCTAGACTACAAAATGTTGACTTTGAAATATACATCAAATGTTGGAGTTGAAAGGAACCTTGAACCATAAATTATTAGAGCAGAGAACAAAGAATGTTAATACTGGAAGAGACTAGGGTCTTCTAAAATGTTAGAACTGACAAAACCTTTGGACACAGAATGCTAGAGCTCTAAGGTATCTGAACAGTTTAATCCCATAATTTTACTACTAAGGAAAATGAGGCTCAGGAAGGTAAAATGACTCACCTAAAATAGTACAGAGAATTAGTAGCACAGACACCAGAATCTAGGTCCCCTGACACCTAGTTAGGAATTTTTCCATTGTGTCATGCTACCTCCAAAATGAAAAACCTTTTTGCAGCTCCTGAGAGCTCTTTTATACAATGAAGTATTTGGTAATTGAGTTAATAACTGGCTACTTACTTAGCTAGCAAAGGAAAAGTTTTCTAATAAGAGAGAGAAAGCTAAAGTTGGGCTTCCCTACTCATCAGCACCTGTGGTGCTGTTAGGTTGTCTGTGAATTGAAGGAACTGTTGGTGTATATAGTCTAGAGAAGCAGAATTATTGAGCTGGACGTGGGAGTTCATTTCATTTATTAGTTAAAAAACTTAAAAATTAATGTCAAAATTCAGTTCATAAGTAAGGACATGAGGAGCAGCTAGGTGGTGCAGTGGATGGATACAGCACTGGCCCTGGAGTCAGGAGGGACCTGAGTTCAAATCCGGCCTCATATCAAACACTTGATAGTTACTAGCTGTGTGACCCTGGGCAAGTCACTTAACCCCAACTGCCTTAAAAAAAATAAAAAGAATAAGGACATGAGCAAACAGTTCTCAAAATAATTTCAAGCTATTAACATATGAAAGAATGTTCCAAATCACTTATAATAATACAAATCAAGCCAGTTGTGAGATTTGACCTCACACTCGGCAAATTGATGACAAAAAAAGATGACAAAAGATGGGAATAGTCAGTATTGGAAGGGTCATGAGAAGATGGGTACGTGGAGAACTGTTGGGGGAACTGAATTAATCTAGTAAATCTAGAAAGCAGTGACTTGCCCAGGCAGGGTCACACAGCTAGTAAAATGAATGATGCCAGATCTAAACTCAGCTCTTCCTGACTCCGGATCCAACACTATTCACTGCACTCTGGCTGTAAATTGTGCACACGCTTCCTATATACATAGTTATATTGCTCTGTGGTGGCGGCGGTGTCAGTGGTGTCATTTCAGTCTTGTCTGTCTCTTCATGATCCCATCTGGGGCTTTCTTGGCAAAGATACTGGAGTGATTTGCCATTGCCTTCTCCAAATACAATTATACTGAAGTGCATAATCATACTTCTACGAGAATTGAAGTTCAGCCTAGGAGCTAATTTCCTTACTGTCTCCAAGAAATAGTTCAGGTTGGTTTCAAAAGTTGGAAGTTGGAGGGAAGTTCATTTGAGCTCCACAGAAGGAACTTTAAATAAGAGCTTCCCAAACAGAAGAACTTTCTGCTGGTCTCTGGAGCCAGAATTGGGCACCTGATTGTTTATGTTCAAAGCAAAAGCCATGAGTGCAGGAGAGCTCAGTGTCAGGTCTGGTTGGAGCACTGGTGGGCTTAGAATCAGAAAACCTAGGTTTGACTCTTGACTGCCCACTTAACTAGCTCTGTGACCTTGGAAAAGTCATTTAACCCTTTGGGCCTCTGTCCTCATAAATAAAAGCAAGGGGTTAGGTTAGCACTGAAGGTCTAATTCTAAGGTTTAGAAATTACTTTCAGTGACCTTGAAACATCTAGTTCTCTTGGTTAGAAGGAAGGCCTAGCAATTTTTAGTCTGGAAAAAGATTTAGGGAGAGAGGATAGCTGTCTGTAAATGTCTGAAGAGCTATAACAGATCAGTTTTCTATAGTGCTTCATAGTTTACCAATGCTTTTCCTACAAAAACCTCATGAAAGTTATTCTTCCCATTTTTCTGGTGAAGAAACAGGTCCCCAGTGGTGGACACACATTAGTGAACAACAGAACAGGGATTCAGGTACAAGTCTGCCTATTCCAAATTCAGTGGCCTTTTGACTATACTGTGCTACTACGTCTGTTGTATGGAAAAGGATTCTTGCTGTTTTCCTTGGTCCCAGAAATCTGAAGTAGCACAAAAGTTACTGATGGTTAGAACTTGGCTTGAAAGAAGAAAAAATTTCATTACAATCAGAGGTAGCCAAAAGTGTTATAATGGGCTTCCTCTGAAGGTAGTAAGTTCCTTATAGCAGAAATTCCTGCTCAGATATAGGTTAGATTCATTCTCACTAACAAAGTCCTTGGCACTATCAAATGGCTTAAGATCAGAAACTGATGGGATTTTGTCAGTGGATTGACATTTAAGAGAAGGCCTTACCATATATTTTTACCACTATAACCCAAGAATCACCTAACTTGCAGCTGAAACTTCTTATTCCCATTACAGTATATCCTTCAGACCAGTGTTTAGCATGGTGCTTTGTACATGGTACAGAGTGTCTCTAGCACTGTGCATAATTCCTAGCACATAGTAGACAGTTAATAAGTGCTTATTGATACTGACTAGAGGGCAGCTAGTTGGCACAGTGGATAGTGCATCAGGCCTGGAGTCAGGAACACCCGAGTTTAAATCCACCCTCAGACCCTTACTAGCTGTGTGACCCTGGGCAAGTCACTTAACCCTTTTTGCCTCAGTTTCCTCGTCGGTAAAATGAGCTGAAGAAAGAAATGGCAAACCAGCCATTTCTCTGCCAAGAAAACCCCAAACGGGGTCACAAAGAGTTGGGAACAATTGGAAAACAGTTCAGCAACAACAACAAATTTATATTGATTGGCAATATCCTGGTAAATTTGGTGAATGTAGGAAAGGTAAAAGAAGGTTATTTATTCATTTATTGAGCATCTGTTTTTATGTTGGACATTGAAATGTATAAGATCTAGCCCTCAAGAAACTTCTAGTTTTACAGACTGGGAATAAATAGTAGCTTTAAAACACTTTATAAAACACTTTCCTCACAACCATGTTAAGTATGTAATTAAAACATTGCCCCCATTTTATGAAGAGGGAACTGGACTTGGTTGAGGTTAAGTGACTTTCCCAAGGTCATACAGGTAGCAGTTCCAGAGCCCAGAAGCCTATCTCCTGATTCTAGTAATACGTATAGTAATGGCTGCCTTTCTCATCAACTTCACTTGCTGCTGCCGCCACCAGACCCCCCCCCCAAAAAACGGTCCATAAACTATTATATAAAGATAATATTTAAGATTTCATCCCTTAACTAAATTAAAAGCCTCTTCTGAGGTTGTTTCTTTTTTTAAGCAAACCTTTTTCAAAAAAAAAATCTTTCTAATTCTCCCCCTTCGCCTCACTTCCATGTATTTCTCTATAGACCTCTGTTCCCTCTTCTTAAATAGGAAACCTGCTCCTGACTGTCCATGGCACTGTGCCCAAATGCTGCCTCCTTCAAGAGACCTTTCCTAGCTCCTCTGTTACATGTTCTGTGTTCTAACATTATGTGTTCTAAAGTCCTTCCCAGCTTCTTGAACTGTTGGCCTCACAAGGTTGTTATGAGGAAAATGCTTTATAAGTGTAAAGTGCTACAGAAAGAAATGTGAGCTATTGTTATCATTCCAGATTTCTGGAGATGTGTTTCTAACTGTTCTGGCATCTGTTTCCTTTCAGCAATCAGAGAAGATGGCATGCCAGGGGGCAGGAACAAAAGCATCGGGCCTGTCCAGGTTGGTACTATGCCCCTACCTATCAGGCTTCCTAAGGGTAATATGTGTCTTTCCCATCTGTTCACTCCTATGCCTTGTGACTACATCTGTGCCAGGGCCAGAGTTTCCCCTCATGCCAGGGTATGTGGAATAGTTGCTTTTTGCTCTCCAAAACATCCTTAAGATTTTTAACAGATAATGTGCCTGGGTCTTGTTGCAGAGCTTTTTTTCTGGCAAGTCTTAAGGCCCTCTTAAGAATTTATCATCTGATCTGTATGTGATTGTAAGCCGTTTCACCCTTCAGAAATTAGAGGAACTGCTACTCAAGTCATGCCAGGATATTTAATAGCATTGATTGCAAATAGAAATAGAAAACCTCCTAGCTCTGGTATATATAATGTCTCCTCAGGTTATCATGAATTCCAGTAGTAGAAAGTTTGTGTGTGAAGAAAACTGTTAAATGTCCCCTCACCCCCGGTGAATAACCATCACCGGCAAGTGCTTTTTGTGTGAGCCAACTTGTGTTAGGATTTTCCTAAGTATAGATCATAGGATTTAGAAATGGAAGGGGACTTGAGGGATCAACTAATTCAACCTCCTCATTTTACAGATGAGGAATTAGATTTGGTCAAGGTCATACAGGTAATAAGTAGCAAAACCAGGATTCAAACCCAAGTCTTCTGCAGACAAATGTATAGTTCTTGTTGCAGTACCATACTGCCCCGAAAGCAATTAAGGACTCTAGCCTTTCTGTATAATAATGTATCAGGGGCTTTTACCTGTGTTTACTATATAGGTTTTAAATCATGTGTTGTTATGAACATTGGACTGGGAGCCAAGAAACCTAGATTTTAATACTGGGTCTGTCTGAGACCTAGCTAGCTATGTGACATGGACAGATCCCTTCCTCACTCTAGGCTTTCATTTCCTCATCTGTAACATGATAGGGCTAGACCAGATTATCTCTGAGATTCCCTCTAGCTCTAATATTGCAAGTTTTATGGCCCATCCCAGGTCTAGCACTTTATGTTCTTTAAATTCTCTATTCTATTTTCTCTTCTTTATTTCCCTTTCCCTTCCATTTCTGTTTCCCTTTTCTTCTTTTCTCTTCCCTTCCCTTTCTTTCCCTTCCATCCCTCCCCCCTTTTTTTCCCCTAAAGACTGTGTCTCCCTATCTCACGTAGGCTGGAAGTACAGGGGCTACTCGTTGGCCTGATACCACTCTGATTAGCACAGGAGTTTTGACCTGAGTTTTGTTCCATTTCTAACCTGGGCCAGTGCACCCCTCCTAATGCAACATGGGGCCACCTGCTAATGGGTGATCTCTGTATTAATGCCAAACTTAGTGTGGACACCCAGTCATCATAGTCCACTGCAGCTCAGAACAACTGAGCTCAGATCTGCTGTCCTCTTCCTCCCTAGTAATTGGGATTTATTGGCATGTGCCAGCACATGTGGGGTACATTCAGTGTTCTGAGACTTCTTCTATCTCTGCCATTCTGCAGTGTTCATACAGCTCTAATGTTCCATGTTCTAAGGACCCTTCTAGTGTTAACATTGTGTGATAAAAGGAGTGTAGCCTATTATGCCCTATGAAAGCAATTTCTTTCAAATGGGGCCCCACTAGGTCCAGGGTATCTGTTATCATCTTAGTACATAAACATACTAACAAACCATTTCGCCACCCAAACATACTGACAAATCTCTTCACCATCTGATTGACGGGGCTTGGCTGTCCCTTCTAAAATGGAACAAGTTCTTGTGTCCCGAGAAGCCTCCAATAAATCCTGTCATCACCTTGTCTTAAGTTGTTGCAAGTGGGGGACCTAGTAAATGTCCTGCTGATTGATGATACCATTTGTCTGGATGGGGCATATAAAATGCTTTGTAATTTGTTCCCATAGCTTCCAGGCCCCCCTAAGAAAAGTTATTTGCTTTTTCTCTACATGTGGCCAGAAAATGAAAGAAGAAACTGTGTAAATAAATAGCAAGTGAGTTCATTTTTTACCAGGTCAGATACCCCAGGAACCAACTATACAGCTGGTATAAGGACAAGATCCCCACTCATGTCAGCCAATTCTTTGGTGTAGTGGATGGAGCCCTGGGCTGGGGCTTGGGAGACTTGGGTTCTAGTGCCTATTCTTCTGTTAACTAACTTTGTGACTTTTAACAAGTTATGTCATTTACCAGAGCTTCAGTTTAATCACCTAGGAAATGATTAGCAGTGTTGGACTAGAGAACATCTGATGTTCTATGTTCAGAGGTTCCTTCCAGTTCTAACATTATATGTTCTCTTTTAGCTCCAGATATTCTGTGTTGAATGTTACAGTCCCAACATTCCTTGTGGTGACATTTGCAACCCCTTCTACCTCTGACATCTTATGTTTCTATAATTATAAGCTGCGTCCCCATAATGACATGTGCTTCTCGTTCCCTACCGAAGATATCAGAGGAAGAGATTGAAAGAATTATGTCTGGGCAAGAATTTGAGGAAGAGGCAAACCACTGGAGCACCAATGGAGACAGTGACCACAGTTCCCCTGGCAACGGAGTTTCTGAAAGCAACCAGCCTTCACCAGTTTCTACACTGTCCTCAAGGTGGGGACCTCCACAAGAGTGTACTTTCCTGTTGTTTTCCCAGTGTCTATCATGTTAGACTAATAAGTCTTTAGGAATAGGCCTCTAAAATTAGAAACTCTTTTGCCTACCTTATTTTGAGGTAAAATGTCCTTCAGAGGTGGGGAAGCTGCAGCCTTGAGGCCACACGTGGCCCTCTAGGTCCTCAGTTGTAGCCCTTTGACTAAATCCAAACTTCACAGAAAAAATTCCCTTAATAAAAGGACTTGTCTGCACCCAAGGACCTAGAAGGCCACATGTAGCCTAGAGACAGGTTCCCCACTCCTGGTTTAGCTAAATAGATTTGCAATACTCTGAAAAAGTCTATAAGATAATAACTCACACGTTCTTAACCTTAGTATCATTTGGTTCTCTCTTGCCATCCATGATAGTAAGGAGCATATTTTAGAGGTTCTGTCAAGAAGTATGTATAAATGAAGTATGTGTTTATATATTTCCTTTGGCCTGATTTAGTATAAGGAACACAATGGATAATGAGTCAGGAGATCAGTCTGGGTGGATTCTGTCACATGTATCTTTGAATCCACTGAGTCTCAGTTTCATTGATGATCAATAAAATAGACACTGACATAAATAACATAATCTGTTCTAACGGTTTTTGTTCTAAGCTTTCTTCTAACTTGAATAGTCTCTGTTGTAAGAGTCTTAATTTTTTTAAGGCCCTGTCTGGCTTTAACACTGTGTGTTTGATGACCATTTCCAGGATCCTATGTTTTTCTCTACTTGTTATGTGTGGTTATGGGTTTTGTAGTTCCTTGGAAATCTTTATTTTAAAAGAATTACATTTCTGGGTTGAAAATTTATGAAGTTTCTTATTAGAGATGGTATGGTCCACTTTGTAGTTCACAGGAGGCTGGAAGCTAGTTTCTCCTGTGAACTTTCTCTGTGACCTTAGACAGAGTATCTAACCTGCTCTGTGTTTGTTTCCTCTGCTGTGAAGTAAAGTGAGATTAGGGCTTTCCTTTATCACTGTTCAAGTTACTGTGCTATAGTGGAAAGAGCATTGGACTTAAATTTCAGACTGTGCCCCTGAATAGCTCCATGACCCCATTGGACAAGTCACTTTATTTTTCTGAGTCTCAGTTTCTCTATCTATAAAATTATATAGTACTTGCCCTTCCTAATTCAGAAGGTTGTTCTGAAAAAAGCACCTTGTCAACTTGAAAGCACTTTATAAATGTAAACTATTATTATTGTTTAAAAAAAAAACACAACCATTTATTAATTATGAGCACTTATTCTGAACCAGGTATTGTTCTAAGATTAAGTGTGATTGACACAAAGCTGAATAAGACCGTGGTTCCTGCCTTTAAGGAGTTCATGGTCTAGTTACAGATAAGATGGAACCACAGATAGATACAATGAAAGTTGGAAGGTGATGAGGGCAAAGGAGAGGTCTCAAACACTTTCCTGTAAGAAATGTGAGGCAAGGGCAGGTGATGATCCCTGCCAACCCAGCCTGAGGGTCAAGAGGTATCCGAGAAAGTAGGCTTAATTCTCACAAGGGATATCACATGAGCCGGACCTTGGAGGAAATAAATTATTTTAATATGTGGAAGTACAACTGATGGAGGTAAGGAGGGGTAAGAACAAAGACCATTTCAGGTGTGGGGAATAGCATAGCAAAGGAAGACTTCAGATTAAAGGGGGGAGGGGGGAGCCATAACCTTATTCACCCAGGAAGTAACTTCTATTTCTATAGCACTTTCAAGCTTTTCCCCCAACAGGGGAAGAGGAAGGAAAGAAGTATTTGTATAGCTCCTACTGTGTGTCAGATACTGTGCTAAGCACTTTTTACAATTATTATCATCTCATTTGATTCTCATAACAACCCCATTTTACAGTGGAGGAAACTGAGGCAAGCTGAGATTAAGTAACTTGCTCATGGTCACATAACTAGTACATGTCTGAGGCCAGGTCTTCCCGAATTGAGACTCGATCCACTGCTCTTCCAGCTGCATACATATGAGGTATATATAGGTAAGCAGGAATATCATCACCCCTATTTCACAGGATGGAGGTTCCAAGAGGCTAACTGGATAATGCAAAATTCAGGCTCAGGTTTCCTGACTCCCTAGTACTGTTTTTCCATGTGAGTCTCTGTAAGTGTTTATTAAACTCCTACCACATGCAGTGGGGCCTACTCAGTGCTGGGGATGCCAAGATTAAAGATGATAGTCTGATAGGGTCAGTAAGGAGGGATAAAGCATGCATGGCTAATCCAGTTTGTCTTGAAAGTGACATGAGCGAAGATGGGACAGATGAGTTGGAATCAGATTTTGGGCAGCCTTTAATGCCAGGCCCATAAATTTAGACTTGACTTGTCAGGCAATAGGGAGTCATTTAAAGAGAACTAATTTTTGTTCCCTTTCTAGGAGGCTTTATGATCTTCAGAGCGCTTTCCTCGCCACAACCCTATGAGTCAATGTGAATATTTCACCCTCAGTTTTAACTCTGAAGAAATAGAACTTTAGAGGGGGGAAGTGGCCTGACAACAACTTTGGTTCAAATAAACACTCCTCCTAAATATAGGTTGCACCTAAAATGATATCTCTTTAAAAGAGAAAAGGCTATGTGGACATATTCCTTTAAAAGTAAACAAAACACTTGACTTTTATATGAGCCAAATGTGGGGCCAGAGAAGTGGTGGCTTCTGATCAGTATTAGATCTGGGACTCATCTGACCGTCTGAATAGTGATGTTATAAAACATCTAGGTGTTTTCGTTCTCTAATGTTCCATCAGTCTACTCTGATCTAGAAAGAGTTTTCTCTGATCTGGAAAGAGTTTAGACTGAGAGGGGTTTGGGGTAGGGATATGAAAAGGTTGTGGAGCTGAACCTGCCTTTTACCATCTCATTCAAGTGAGGAAACTGAAGCCCAAAGAGATTTAGGACTTGTGAGCTAAAATAACCTCCTTATCATAATGAATTACAACTTTGCAACAGAACACTGGAGTGAAGGCTTCATTTGCTGGGGAAAGAAACTCAGATACATTTCACAGTAGTAGATTTCTTGTCCCCTAAAAACAATAAAATGGTTTCTTATAGAAAACCACAGAATTCACCAATGACGTGCTGGGCCCTGTGCTGGTTTTCAAGAATACAAAGAAGGAAATAGGTCTTATGTACAAGGACCTTACGTTCTAAGGTGGAGCACAACATGGACAGAAATAAGCATATAAAGATAATTTTATAAAGAAAAATAGAGTAGTTGGAAAGGAAGGGCACTCCTGTAGTAACTGAGGGACCAGGAAAGGCTTCATTTAGAAGGCATTGCTTGACCTGCATTTTTGAGGGAAGACAGATTCTCTGAGGCCAAGATGAGGAGAAACTGCATTCCAGGCATGTGGGGGCCAGACAGTGCAAAGGCAGGGTGATTGGAGATGAAGTGTCACCTGGAAGAGAGAGAAGGCCAGGTTGCCTGGATCACAGGGGGCAGGATGAAGAATATTGTCCACTGGAAAGAGAGGTTTAGGCCAAGTTGGAAAGAGGAGCTTATGTTTACCCTAGAAGTAAAGGGAGCCTCTGGAGTTAATTGAATTGGGGAGTGTTATGGTCAGATGTGCACTTAAGGAATACTACTTTGGTAGCTATGTATAGGAAGGACTGGAGTGGAGAGGGACCTGAGACAGAAGAAAAGAAATATTTAACAAGATTATAGCAAAGGAAGTGCTTTGTAAACTTTAAGACCCTCTAAAACTATGTCTTAATCCTTTTGATATTTCAAAAGAGATTGATTTTATTACTTCATCATGGGGAAAGATGGGAAAGATCACTGAACTTGGAGTTTGAAGACTTGTATTCCTTCCCAGTTGGGCTACTCACTAGCCATGATTTTGGGGAAGTTATTTCCCCTCTTTGGGTCTCAATTTCCTCATCTTCCCCTTTCAGTTCTAAAGCTTAAGAATCAGGCTTCCTGATTCTCATTTGAAACCTCTTTTCACCACACATGGCTGCCTGTATCCTTCTTGGGCAGGTGCCGAGGACAAATGTACTGGTATGATATGTGCTTCATTCTTTCAAGTACCATCAGGTGAATACAAGATGGTCAAGCCTGTAGCTGCCTTGATTAAGATGATATTTTTCTCTTCTAGTAGGTCTGTGGAGCTGAATGGATTCACTGCTTTCAGAGAGCAGTACATGGGTACTCCGGTACCCCCACACTATCAGTATATACCGCACCTTTTTAGCTATTCCGCTCACTCGCCTCTGCTGCCCCCCCAAGCCCGGAGCCTGGACCCCCAGTCCCACAGCCTGATCCATCAGTTGGTGCTTGCTGAGGACCTGGAACCCTTGGGCACACCCATGTTGATTGAAGACGGGTGAGTGGTTCATGACCTGAGACACCAAGAGATGGTTGTTCGGGGACCTGAGACTCAGCACTAGACCACAGGTTTCTGCTTCCCAACAGCTATTTGGCATTTCTCTCCATACACTCCAGGGACTGGAATGGAGTACTGGGGAGCAAGGAAGGCAGAGACTTAAGGTTAAAATATTTGTTATTTGAACAGTTTACATTGAAGCCCATTTTTTAATGTCTGGGCCTTAAAAGATGTTTGTTAGAGACCAAATGCAATGATGGAAAGAGCATGTAACTTGAAGTCAGAAAACTTGAGCTCAAATGCCCTCTGGGATACCTTCAGCAGGACCATGGCAGCTAGGTGAAACAATAAATAGAGCACTGGGCTTGGAGTCGGGAAGGCCTAAGTTCAAATCTAGCCTCAGATGCTTATTGGCTGTGTGATCCTTGGCAAGTCACTTAATCTCTGTCTGCCTCAGTTTCCTCAGCTATAACATGGGGGTCATAATAGCACCTAATTCCCAGGGTTATTATGATGATCAAGTATAAAGTGCTAAGCACAGTGATTGGCACTTTACGGGGGGGGGGGTTGGGTTGTTTTTCTGTCATGTCTGACTCTTTGTGACCCCTTTTGGGGTTTCTTGGCAAAGATACTGGAGTGGTTTGCCATTTCCTTCTCCAGTTCATTTTGCAGATGAGGAAACTGAGGCACACAAGGTTTAGTGACTTGTCCAGGATCACACAGCTTGTAAATGACTTCAGATTTGAACTCGGGTTCTCTTGACTCCAAGTCTGAGCTCTTATCTACTGTGCCACCTAGCTGACTGGCACTACTAGGCACTTAATAAATGCTTACTCCCTACCCCCTTCCTCATGGTCAGCTTAATCAATGTCTTTGAATATCTGCTTCCTTATCTGTAAAATGGAGGCAATAATTGTTGGCATAGCCTTTCATAAGAACCATAAATTCAGCTGAACTGGAGTTGTTATTTCTAAAAGAAAAAAAAGATCATAACACATCCAGAATGAAATGACACTGCATGTCTGCATGCACATGAATGTGGTGCCAGCAAAAGAACATAGAAATGGATCTAGTAGTAGTTAAGATATCCAGGGTTTAGACCTGACTTTGTCCCCATCCAGTTGCATGATCTTGGACAAAGTTGTTTGAACTCCCTGGACTTCAGTTTCCTCATCAGTAAAATGTAGTCACACTGCTAACATACTGTGTGTTCTCAGGTCCCTTTTAGCTCTAACGTCCTGTGTTCTAAAGGCCTTTCCAGCGTTAGCAGTCTACCTGCGCTTTCTCTATTGAGCTTCTGGCATAGACTAGCACTGAGCAGGCTGCTTGCTGCTGCCACCTATGGGTTCCAAGACTGTGGGTCCTTGCCACTAGAGGACACTGTGGGCAGCAGGATAAAGTCACTACTTGGAGCAGTCAGTTAACTTGCTATCTTAAGTTGTTGGGATTTTTTTTCTTTTTAAATTTAATCTGTTCTTTCCATAAGCAAATCTTTTTTTTTTAATTCCTCAATACATAGTCTGGCACAACAATTCACACATTACCCATATCTGATAATATATGTTTCTGCTTTTTTGAGTTCATCACCTCTCTTGGGGAAGGAAGTGGCATACTTCATTCTTCACACTTCTAAAGTATTTCAAAATTGTTTTACTCTATGTTGTTATCATCATTGTATAAATTTATCTGCTAGTTCTGGTCATTTTGCTCTGCCCCTCTTCCTAGTTTCCTCTGAAATTGTCCATGTCATCAAACCTATTTATAGCAGCTCTTTTCATGGAAATCAAAAATTGGAAATTAAAAGGTGTGCTCCTATTGAAGAAAGGCTGAATAAATTGTGCTATAATTATGTTTGTGTGTATAGATGTAGATATATAGATTATATTCCTTTCTTTGATGTTTTTGGGGTATAGAATCAGTAGTGGTATGTCTAGGTCAAAGAGCGTGCACAGTTTGGTCACTTTTTGGTATTGCTCCAAATTGCCCTGCAGAATGACCAAAGCAGTTCACAGCTCCACCAACAATGCACCAACCTGCTTGTTTTCTTATTTTTTGTCAGCTTTGCCAGTCGGATAGGTGTGACATGGAGCTCTAAGTTGCTTTAGTATTTTGCATTTCTCTAATTATTAGTAATTTAGAGCCAAAGTGTCAAAGCGTGTGGTCCAAAACACTCCCTGAGTGTGGCCCAAACCATAATAAAAGGTACTTGGGAAGTATTTAACAAGTAAAAAAACAATAAGACATAGATGGCATTATATTTTAAAACCAGTCAATATGTGGCCTGCAGGGATCCTTATATACAGTTTAGTGGCTTATGTTTCTTTTTTAGTTTGACACCTGTGTTTTAGAGAATTTTTAATAAAATTGTTGATAGCTTAGATTTCTTCCTTTGAAAACTGCCAGGTCACACCATACCCTTTGACCACACGTCTATATTAGAATGGCTCTTAGTCTTCACAAATTTGAATCGGTTCTATACATAGAAACGTGTGTGTGTGTGCGTGTACGCACTTGTGTATATAAAATCTTGAAATGAAGTTGTTGCAAGCTTTTTCCTAGTAACTTCTTTCCATTTTGATTTTTACTATATTTGATTTGTTTATAATAAAACTTTTTGTATAACTAAAATTGCCCATTTTATCTTATTCTTTATTGCTTGTTTAGTCATGAATTCTTTCCAATCCATAGATTTGAATGATGGCACAGGGGATAGAGTGCTGGACCTGGAGTCAGGAAGAGCTGAGTTCAAATTCAGCTTCTGACTTCCTAGCTGAGTGGCCTTGGGCAAGTCACTTAACTTCTTTGCTTCAGTTTCCCCACCTGTAAAATGGGGATAATAGTAGCACCCACCTTGCAGAGTTGTTGTGAAGACCAAAGAGATAACTGTAAAGCACTTAGCACAGTGCCTAGCACATAATAAGCTCTATATAAATGATGGCTGCCATTATAATTTCTTGCTTGCTTCTCTAATTTTTGGTGTGACTCTTTATATCGAAGGTCAGGTATGCGTTTAGAGGTCATCTCAGTGTACGTATCCCAAGTCTTGTGGGAGGAGAGATTTAGGTGAAGTTCCCCTCCTACCGCCCTTAGACAAGAAGTCTTCATTTGGTAGATTCTCAGTTCATCCTGCTTTTTCCCCCAGGTACACTGTAACTCAAGCTGAGCTGTTTGCGCTGCTGTGTCGCCTGGCAGATGAGCTGCTGTTCAGGCAGATTGCTTGGATCAAGAAGCTGCCATTCTTCTGTGAGCTCTCCATCAAGGACTATACCTGCCTCCTGAGCTCCACATGGCAGGAGCTCATTCTGCTGTCATCCCTCACCGTGTACAGCAAACACATCTTTGGGGAGCTGGCAGATGTGACCTCCAAGTACTCACCCTCTGATGAGGAGCTGCACAGGTGAGGGGAGGGTTGGGGAGACCTTCAGGAGCCTCCATTACACAGCTTTCACTCAGCCTTCTTTTGGGGGATCAAAGCCTTTGGCTTCAAGAAAGTGAAGTTGACAAATGTAAATAATTTACATAAAACTTAAATATGACAGGCTCTGAGCTGTAGGCTGAAGAGACAATAACTGACAAATGATTTGTTTAATACTAAGGTTTGCAAAATTTTTACATATGCCATCTCATTTGAGCCTCTACATTGATGTGTAGGTGTTAACAGGTCTGAGACTCGGAATATTAGAGCTCCCAGGGTCTAATCATCTGAACTGGGAGCATTAGAAGGAACTGTACTAACCATATACTTGTGTGATCTCTTCCATGTGGGAACTCTCTCCACTGGTTCAAATTACAATCTATTTATATCATCCTATGCAATTCTTGATAGTATTCTCCCGTAAATGGTATTCTCCACCCAACACACTGGGGGCGTTGCCCTTGATCTTTCAATATTTCTTAGGTATAGCACTCAGAGCATCCATCATGTCATGCCTTGATTTACCTATATTACTTGTTCATGCCTTTTCTGTTTGTACATTTTATTGGATGGCTATTCCTTTTGTCACTTCTTGCATGCAGGTGATCATGAGTAATAAACTACAGGGTACTGAAACCCACCTTTATGTTAAGACATTTTGCAAACCTTAAAGAGCTGTATGTCAGCTGTCATGATTAACTCAAGTGGTTGCCCATCCGGCTGTGTGCCATACCTTCTATAGGAGGCCTTTCCAAGTACCATATTATCTCTCTTCCCCCTCAACCCATCCACAACTCCAAAGAGTCTTCTCTCTGTGCTTACCTTCCATCTTCCTTGTGGATATCTTATATGTATGTAGTTGCCTATATGTTGTTTATGCCATTTACATTTGAGCCCCATGAGGGGAGGGGCAGTGTTTTTGTCTTTCTTTGTGTCCCCAGCATGTAGCACAGTTCCCAGAAGATAGTACGTACATAATAAATGCTGTTGATTGGTTGGGCAGTAGGCGTTCCTCCTGTACTTTCCTTTTCCTATTTGGAATGTTAGATTAGTGTCTTGAGTAACTGCATCTTATTGAGGAGTGTTGGGACTTGATGCAATCAGTGTAATATCATCACATTGTCCAAGATCTCACTCTTGGGCAACCCTCTTCCATTTAGATACTGTCTCTGTGACAGTGATAGATATCCTCTAGCAAGCATATTTTATGCCCCTACTGATAGTGATAATCAGAGGATCATTAAACAAAGTTACCTCTGTGCTTTTATCAGTCAAGAAATGTGCATGGGAGATAGCCTTGTTGGAAGAGAACAGAACCTTTGCCCTTCTCCTTGGATCTCCATTACATAATCCATGCGTAATCTTTACCCCCTTAGGTGACCTCACATGAGCCTGAGTCTCATGTGTTAGTAGGCTGTTGACAGGAGAGGATAGAAACTGTTTGATAGGGAAGTGGAGAAGCAAGAAGACAAGTGGGGAAATCCTGGAGCCAGAAAGTACTAGGATGGTAGAATTTGGATTTGAAATGGATTTCCAAGATCATGTTAGTCTAAATTCCTCCCCTTCCCCAACTTATTTATAAAAAACAGACCAAGAGAGATTATGTGACTTGCCCAAAGTCACAAAAATAAAATCAGAGCCCAGGTCTGTTGCTGCAGATGCCAAACTCCAGTTTTTTGTATATGAATATTGAAGAACAGAGTGTTCTCTCAAAAACATGGCTTCTACCCAAAAAGGAACGTAGAATAAAGCTTGTAAAGCCAATAGGAAATTGTATCAGAATACTCAGTCAAATTAACAAGTGGTCATCACGGCTTCTCACGTTGAGGGCCTAAGAAATGAAATAGTCCTTGCCCTTGGAGAGCTTATCAGAGGAGCCAGGTGTGGTGCAGAGGGTAGAGTGCTGGGCCTGGAGTCAGGAAGACCCTAGTTCAAATCCTGCCTCAGACATTAATTAGTTATGTGACCCTGGGCAACTCAGTTAACTGCTGTTTGCCTCAGTTGCCCCAACTGTAAAATGGTAATAATAATGCCACCTACCTCCCAGAGTTGTTATAAAGATCAAATTGGATACTGGTGGTAAAGCACTTAGCACAATGCCTGGCACGTAGTAAGTGCTATATAAATATTAGCTATCATTATTTTTATTATTACTAGGAAATGTACATAGGTAAGTGTACACAAAACAAGGACAAAATAAATAAAAGGCAGTCATGGAGGGCACTAGCCACAGTAGAGTGAATCACAAAAGGCTTAGTGTAAAAGCTGGTGCTGGAGCCACTCTTAAAGGGAATGTGAGATTTTAGGAGTTAGAGATAAGGAGGGAGGGAGTGAATTCCAGAAACAGAGATGGCCTCTGCAAAGGCCTTTGAGAGAAGAGCTAGAGCTTGTGTGTAAGAAAGAGCAAAAAGTCCAGTTTGGCCGGACCGTAGCAGACAGACTGAAAGATAGGTGGGGCCAGGTTATGAAGGGCTTTATATGTTAATCCAGAGTTTATTTTGTCCCAGAAGCAATAAGGAGCCACTAGAATTTGAGTAAAAAGGTTATGAAAGCTGCCAAGCCCTTTTCAAGGCTTCTCATCTACCTTTGGTGTCCCACCTGATTCACCCAACTCTCACCTGTGGCTCCAAGAAGCTGTAACATGCACAGTGGCCTCACCCCCTTTTGGCAGATGGGCTAAACCAGGTTAAGGGTACCAGCAGGCTTCAGATTTGTCAGTGAGTAGGGGGATGTCAACCCCCAAGCATGAGAAGATTTCCCCCAGCAGAATGTGTGGTTGAGAACAATTTGTTCCGAAGGTGGCTGAAGCACTTAGAGCTTGGTCAGGCATCAAAGAGACCATGGTCATCCATGGCATCCCAGGCCATCACCCTTCATCATGACCTTTGTCTTACTACTGGACTTCAGTGACTCAGGAAGAGAGAGTGAGGCTGACGGCTTTTACAACTTTGCCTCACTTAAATCCAGTTCAGCAGCAAGTCAGGACATTGCCTTGTGATGCCATTGGTCCCTTTCAAAAATGGCAGGATGAACAACATCAACATAGTCATATCTGTGCTTAAGGAAAATTACTTTGGCAGCTTTGTGGATTGGTGGATGGGAGGAAGGAGAGGTTTGAGGCAGGAAGACCATTTGAGTGGCCATTGCCGTGGTCCAGTGAGAAGAGATACAGGTCTGAGCTAAGGTAATGGCTTTGTGAGTAGAGTGACAGTGTCAATTGTAAGAGATGCTGTGAAAGTGGAAACAGTGAGATTTATCAACTGATGGGATCTTTGGGAGGAGGGAAAACAAGGAGTTAGGAATGACACCAGGGTTACAAAACCAAGTGACTGGAAAAATGGTGGTGGCCTTGACAAAAATAGGGAAATTTGGAAAAGAGGTAGGTTTGAGGGGTAAGAGAATAAGTGCTGGTTTGGGCATGTTGAGTTCAGGGTGTCTCTGGAACATCCAGTTTGGAATGTCTAATTGGCAGTTGGTACTAGAGCTCAGGAGACTGGGCTGGATATATAGTACTGACTCCTTTTGATGTAGATGATAATTAAACCAGTGGAAACTGATGAGGTTACCAGGAGAGAATGTAGAGAGAGAGAAGAGAAGGCCCCCAACAAAGGCATGGATCTGCAAGCTCTTGCACTTGCATCTTTTCCGGGAGACTAATGAAAGGAGAAGGTTGGGTGTTCCTGACCTTGTTATAATATTCCATTATAAATGATCTTTAAAGGCTGGGGTAGAGGTTGGGGGGCAGATATAAATGACAGTATTTTTAACCGAGTTGACACTCTGTCTAGTAAACAGAGCTATCTGATGTTCTGAGTGACCTAACTAGTGCCAGAGATGCTAATTCATTATTTTCATCTCTTCTTTTGGTCTTCTTCAGACCTAGCATTGGGCAGCCAAGTGTTTGGATAGCAGGCGGCCTATCCTAATATTGTCAGGGTCTGCTTAGATGGCTGCCAGCCCTCCTTGTTTGCATTTGGCATGCCTGGAGTTCTCTGCAGGGTCAGCTGCTGGGCGCTGTTCATTCCAGGGTGATGAATTTTTGGAGTCACTTCACAGGTCAGGGGATATCACAGAGCTGTTGGCAGTCTGTGTTCTCTAGGGATGTGAGCTTGGTGAGGCCCAGCACTCCCTCTGGCCCCGGTGTTATTATGAAATTAGGGGGAACAAGAACATAGTGAGAGACAGTGAGACCTGATAGCAAGTTGTTTTTTTCTTTTCCTTAGTAGAATCAACCTGTTTAGAAGGAATTAACAAGTATGTTCTATTCCTGCATCTGATTTAGGGATCATGAAAATGTCTTTTAGAATCATAGAACTTTAGCGCTAGCAGGAACTTTCAAACACAGAATGTTAGGGACATTATACCAAAATAATAATAAAAATAACAATAGCCAGCATTTCTGCAATGCTTTTGCAGAGTATTTTACAGACAATCTCATTTGATTGTCGGTAATCCTGTGAGGTAGGTACTACAGATTTTTCTATCCCTGTTTTTTTAGATGAAAAAAATGAGCCTTAAAGAGCTTAACTCACTTGATTTAAGGGTCACACAGCTAATGTCAGAGATGGGATTTGAATCTTTTGCTCTCTTCATCCCAAATCTAGGTTTCTAGAGTGTTAGAACAAAGGAGTGTAGAACTAAAAGGGACTTCAAATCATGGGATGGTGGAACTTAAAACATTAGCTCTATAAGTGACCTTGAGATACAGATGTTTGAGCTAGATGGAATCTTATGGAAATTCTAGTGCTCATTTTACAGGTGAGAAAACTGAGGCACAGGGAATCAAGTAAATTGCCAAAGATGACACAACATAAAGTTCTTTGTCAATAGAAATAAACATAAGTTTGAGAAACTTTAGAGTGCAGTGGACTGAGAAAGTACGTTACCAGGTTGTTTCACTATGTAAAACACACACTGTTGTGCTGGGTAGTGTGTATACCTAGGATTAAAGCATGAGCATGTGTACATCAGCTAGGCATTAG